AGGCAGTACTCTGTGAACACAAGGGTAGCGCCTATTTTAAAACAATGAACGATCCTCTTATTATAAGGGTCAAGGCAATAAAGAGCAATTAAAAAGACATATTCATAATATGAGTCATTAAGAATGTAATGAACTGCAAATTCACGGTGCCTTGGAAGCCAAATTCCCCAAATTCATGTCTGATAATTAGAGAACAAGTGCCTTCTCCTGTTATTATCACCAGACGGCATTTCTGATTTCACTATATCTTTTCATAGTACTTATATTTCCTGGGTAATGCTCTAAACTAACACCAAATTAGCATTGCCAGCTAATTTATTAAGTTCTGCCTTTTGTTCTTCACAGCATTTGTCTCAGCAGAATAGTGAATAACCAAAATAATTAGTTCCTACTTTTGATTTTGCCAGTAAAAGCAGCATGGTATCTACCCCATTTACAAAGAATAGATATCAAAATGAATGAAATCAACTTAATGGGAAGAAAGATAGGCTGCAACCTGATGTGGGAAGTTTTGCTGACCACGTGAGCTGCATACCAAAATGCAGCTTATTACTGGGAATGGTTCACAGGAGAGAGAACTGTCGTGGTTTGAGTGTAGTCAGTAACTCAGACCCATGCAGCCCGTTCACTCACTCCCCCACTTCCTCCCCCCAGCCCGCTCCCGGAGGAATGGGGAGGAGAATCGAAAGAGTGCAACTCCCACGGGTTGAGATAAGAACAGCCCAGTAACTAAGGTATAACACAAACCACTACTGCTACCACCAATAATAATAATGATAAGGGAAATAACAAGGGAAGAGAATACAACCGCTCACCACCCACCGACCAATACCCAGCCTGACCGAGCAGTGTACTCGCCCTTCCTGGTAAGTGCCCCCAGTTTACATCCTGGGCATGACATGCTGTGGTATGGAATTACCTCTTTGGCTAGTTTGGGTCAGGTGTCCTGTCTCTGCTTCCTCCCAGCTTCCCCTCCTCCCTGGCAGAGCATGAGACTCACAAAGTCCTTGGTCAGAGTAAACATTTCTGAGCAGTAACTAAAAACATCGGTGTTATCAGCGGTGTTCCCAGGCCGAAAGTCAAAACCACAGCACTGCACCAGCTACTAAGAAGGAGAAAAAAATGACTGCTACTGCTGAACCCAGGACAGTAACATTGTCTCTGCCATCCTCTACTGCTTCTAGGATCTGGCCTGGCTGGAGGCATGGTTGGGCTCCCAGAGGTGACACAGTGATGTTGGTCTCAGTGCTCTCTGTGACTGGGAATTTGGAGCTACAGGCGTTCATATGCAGTACAATGTGAACTGGTAGTGAGAACAACTAGTGTAGCAGCAACTTTTGCCTAACACTAGATAGCTACCGTGGCTTGAAGGAAAAAGACAAGAAATGATTCAAGGAGACAAACCACTAAGTAAAAAACCCAAAATAAATAAACAAAAAACCCCACAACAACCCAGCAAAATAACGGTAAGAAATGGGAGAGGAGATCTTTCCAGAAGGCAGCTAACCCCATAAACACAAGTACAAAACAGAGATCTATCTCTGAAGTACCTGGAAATGGGAAGGTATAATGCACTAGATATATTAGGTGGTGATGTGTAAGGAGTGATTTCTATGTTAAAGCAATATCTACAGAAAAAAAAACAGGTAAAACCCCCACAAAACCAAACCAAACCCGAGGCTGTTATTAGAGGTTTTTCCTTAAGACCCCATCTTCTGAAGTAGATCACACGAAGAATCTAACTGATATAAATGAAGTATGAGATAAAGTATTGTGGAGCAGTAATCTATGGTAAGATTAATAGTTCAGGATGTGAGGTGTATTAGGATTAACTCTTTGAAATTGGCATAGGTGCCTGGATGAATTAGCAGATTTGGAGTGCCCCATTTTATGGAAATGAATGACAAGACAAACTGAAAGAGAGCTCAAGATCCCAGGTTGCTTTATTTTCATGAAAGCATCCTTTTTGCAGTAATATCTTCCTGTATTTTATATTTAATGTAGTATTATTTATTCATTTTGGAACTAATCTAAATAAAGCCAATTAACTGAGGGGTTATTAGCAGTTAGTGTTAGGGATGAGAAGTTCTAGGCATGGTAAGAAATGTCTGAATTCTTCTAGTTTCATAGTTAAATCTACACCTGCAGGCAGTATCATTTTCTCAGCAAATGAGTCGATTATTCTGTGTGCACATGGGCAAATACTGTTGTTTATTTATCCATGAATCTCAAATTATGTGAAAAAGCTATAAAATTTGCTCTGGAAAGACCTATTTTCTCCCTACAGTTCCATATTTGGCTGTTTTGAGGGGATTATTCTTTTGTTGCTCCCGTCCCCTCAAGGACATTCTTTGAGGCATCCAAAAAATAAAAGCTGTCACAGAGGATTGCAGAGAAGAATCAGAAGCAGACGTTTTGCAGCATGAGATCTGGGACACAAATAGAGGTGAACAGGCAGGCATTATTACACCCTATGCAGATGGATCCTTCAAGGAGAGCTAGTTTCTTGGAATGCCATGGATAATTCATGGTTTGAATGAATTAATTCAGTGGGCAGTGAGGATGTTTCTCATTTGTGCAGCAGTCGAATGGGTTGCCTCTTGAACCACCAGGCTAGTGGAACATTGGCTGCCTCCAAAATAGTGCTCTAAAAACGTTTTGATCTGAAAATATGTACTTGTTCATGCTTCTCAGGTGGAAGAAGATTCTCCATGACTGATGCCAATATATTCGTGCTTTATTTCATCCGCTACTGCTTCTGCCTATTTAAGTCACTATAGCTCCTGCCGTATATTCCTTCTGTCCATGATTTCTTGCCTGATCACTGAAGAATGGGCTGGCAACCAAACACTTGCTATATATCTCTCCCAGGCCAGTGGCTCAAGGGTGGCAGAAATCAATGTTATTAATATGCAGAGTGAGTAATATTACAGTTTGTATGTATAGGTCCTGAAAAAAACCCCAATCCACAGACAAAGCAGTATCTTGGACAAAGTGCAGAGGAGTGAAAAAAATCTTGGGTCTTGTCCATATGAATGGATAACAGGTTTGTGTATTAACTGTTACCGAGGCAGAGCATAATGGGAACAGTTAAACAGGAATTAATCTGTTTGAATGACGTAGTTTTAGCTAAAATCAAGACAACACTTCACTAGGCAACAACACTGTGTTAAATGGTGCTTCTGATATAATCCTGGTGCTGGGGAGGGTAGGTTGAAAGGTTCTCTGTGCCTTTTGCATAAGCATGTTAGGTAGCTACTTGTCAATGGCAAGCTATACAGGAATTCGAATATACTTTTTTAAAAGGTCTTAGTTATAATTATATTTTTTAATTGGTGATTTTTTAATGGTTTCTTTATTTTTTTATTTTGTAATTCTCTGTGACTACAGATACGCTAAAAATGCACTGTAAACAGGTACATGTAGCAGACTGGTAAAAGCAGGGTGACTACTGCATAAATGTGCAAAAATTTGCTTTGGATTATTATTGAAGTGTGAAAACAAAAATTTCCAACAGGAAACTCATATCTATGAGACATGTTTGTGCTTGAGCAGTAGAAAAGAATTGTTTTCTCAATGAGTCACTCCTCTCCACAAGTATGTGGGTGAGAGAAGTTTCACAGTTATGATCTGAAATCCAAAAGCCTTCAAACCATTTGCTACAGAAAAGGAAGTTCTGAAACTAATTTTTTTCCAGTGTAGTTATCGGTAGAACACAGTTCAGTTATCAGGGGCATTATATAAAACAATTACTTTCTCAGAGCTATTTTGAGTACGGATTTAATAATTTATCCAGAAAGAAAGGACACATTTTCAAGATTGAAATGTTCAGTTTTGCAAAGGAGACAGACCCTTACAAAGTAAAAATATCTGCTCTCAAAGAGTTAGCCTCAAATCTGTTTGTACAGCTTGGTCTGATGAAGTCAGTGAGAAGACTCTGATCGAGACTTACAGAGAATTAGTGGTGTACCAAAAATGTATGTTTCTTAACTGTTTCTGCAGAAGAGGTAGGTATTTAGTAAAGAAAAAGGAGAGTGGCTACTATAAAGGGAAGACAATGAGTTGACAAAGAACAAAATGTAATATGACAATGAAATACCAGAGCAACTCCAACATTTCAGACATATGGAGCAGGACAATCCATCCTGTTCCTTTAAGGCTGCCTGGGCTTGATCTAGTCATCTATGCCATTTGTCTTAATGACAGTTGGCATTAGGTATCCTACCGCTTGGTCGTTTTGTCTGGTTGACAATAGGTGAGCAATGTTTTCTTGAAGTTTTCATAGGATATTTAGGAGTTGCTGTGCCAAGCAGATTGTGACTGCCTACCCTTACAGCAGGTATGGGTACTCCCCTTAGCACATACGCCATAATCCCGTAAGGACATCGTAGACATTAAACATTGTGGATGGAAGGAAATTTGGCCTCAGGCACAGCCTAAAGGATGTGTTAGTCAAAGGACACAGAGAATGTTATATAAATTCTGTGTGTTCTCCATGTGATTTGAGTGACCTGTGTGTTGCCCAGTTTACCTGTAGGAGTAGGCCAGGTACCCAGGCTAATCCTGCCTACGTTGAACAGCAGCTTCAATCAGGCATAGAAATGAAATGAGTTTAATTTCCTGATGTTCATGGGCCAGATGATTAACTCACATCCCCGAGTGAGACTTTCTGGAAAATCAGTCCATCTGTCTGTTTTTTCTAATTGTTGGTCTGGCTGAGTGACAGGCAAGAAAAAGGTCTTGTCCTTATTTCTTACATTGTAGCAAAACTGAAAATGGAGATGTTTCCAATTTTCAGCTTAGAATATTAAAGTAACTGTTCAATAACTTGAACTTCTGCCTTCTCTTTTTTCTCCATTATCACTTAGTCACTCGAAGGCAGTCAGTTCTTCTTGTAGAAGCCATAGTCTTCGTGTCATGACTGACATTGTAAAATTGTTTAGGAAAATACTATTCCTTAACTAAATGGGCAACTTCTGTTTCTTTCGTTCTTTACACAGGCAAATACCTGCTGGCCCACTCATCTGGCTCTGTACCCTGGAAACCCATGCTTGGTAAAGACAAATCTTATTTCTATTCCTGGGTACATTTCAGCTTTTTACAATTTTTTCTCCAAGAAACATCTCCTTTAGAGATGTTTTGAAATAAGCTGCAACTAGAATGGGGGTCTAGCTGTGTCTTTCAAAAGCTGCAGCCTCTTACATGAAAATTATTCGTTTATAAATGTTTAGAACTTGAAGTTGACACAAGAAGTGTTTTTTGCATTAGAAGTCTAAACCTATGCAAGCATGTAATGGAAATTTTACCCACTTTCCTGATGATTACATGTGAAAACTCATGTTTTTTAATCTCTGCTGGCACAAAACACCTCTTTAATTAGGATTTTAAGATATGATGCTACACATTTGAGGTTATTAAAAAAAAATCTGGGGCATATTGATGAACTGGAAAATTGAGATAGATGATGTAACCTTTAACAAACACATTCCAAAATGTAAAGGAATAGCAAAATAATTGATGCAGTCAAGCTTTTCCAGTATAATGGTTCTTTAACAAGATTTGAGGGCCTAAAATTGACATAGCTTTAATTAAAGTTCTGCATGCTGATCTACCATGGCATGCATGCATCTCTGTTACTAAGACTGCTCTACCAAAAAGCTGAAGAAATCCACTCTGAAATGTATTAAAAATCAGTATGTTTATTCCAAGTGGGGATATCAGCGTGCAGGCAGTTCCTGCAGTGACTGTGACTGGAGTCAGCAAATTAAAGATAGTACCTAAAAAGTCTTGTTTCATTTGTCAGTCTACTGAAGTGATCATTTTACCTGGATGTTTGTTTTTTTTTTTCTTATTTAGAAGGCTCTGATTAATGTGGTATGAAATCCTCTCCTGCTTTACAGTATCTGAAAGCAAATAGTGCTTGTAGTTTGAGTACATTTCTTTATGTAATCTTTCTACCCTACTATCTCATTCCCTAGTTTGCAGAAACATATTTTCTGTTCTCTCCTCTTCCATTTCATGTTTTCTCTGCTATGCCTGTTTTCTTATTCATTATAAATAAATATTTTGCTCTGCAGTGATCTAACTTCATTTATATTAGGAATTAATACAGTATACCTCCAGGCTGTCTTCTTACTAGCCGAACAAAAAAGCAGACTGGCTTTAACTCCTAATGAACCATTCCTTTTGGGGGGAAATATAAAGTGCAGTTCGCTGAAATTCCATTAAAGTCTTAGATATCCATTAAAAGTGCAAGTGTAATATGTTAAACTGTGGAATGGAAGAAAGAATGGGCATATGAAAAATGAATAAGCACTTACAAAAGTGATTGTGCTCATTTCAAAAACTCTTAAAGGTTGCTCTGGAAGAACTCCAGATGTTGTGACCACAACTTTCTCTTAATTTTCAATACTGTGGCGTGTCATAGTCATGAACTGGAAATGTGGGTGGTTTTACTTTCGCAACGGCACCATCATAGCCTCAGTATTACATCACCATAGATTCTTCTATGTGGTTGTCTTGGCTCCAAGTTTGTCATTTCAGTGTTACCTATAACTTACTTTATGTATGTCTGTATTTTATATGCTACCCTAATATAATTTTAAAGATTTAAAGATTACTTTTAGCTAAAAACCCCACTGTCCTGGGTTCAGCAGTAGCAGTCATTTTTTCCCCTTCTTGGTAGCTGGTGCAGTGCAGTGTTTTGACTTTCAGCTCGGGAACAGAGCTGATAGAGATGTTTTGGTTTGGCCAAGGACTTTGCGAGCCTCATGCTCTGCCAGGGAGGAGGGGAAGCCGGGAGGAAGCAGAGACAGGACACCTGACCCAAACTGACCAAAGAGCTATTCCATACCACAGCACGTCATGCCCAGGATGTAACTGGGAGTTAGCCGGAAGGGCTGGGAGACTGCAGGGTTGGAGGAGGTATCGGTCGGAGCTTGGTCGGGCTTGGGGGGCGAGTTATCGGTCAGCGGGTGGTGAGGTGTTGTATTCTGTTCCCTTGTTATTTCCTTTATCATTATTATCATTGGTGGTAGCAGTAGTGATTTGTGTTATACCTTAGTTACTAAACTGGTCTTATCTCAACCCGTGGGAGTTGCATTCTTTTGATTCTCCTCTCCGTCCCTCCGAGAGCAGGGGGAGGGCAAGAAAGGGGGGGAAGTGAGCGAACGAATTACCTGACTGGGTTTAAACCACGACACCCACAAATCCTGAAACTCCCCTAAACCAATCCCCCAAGAAAACCCTGAATTATCACTTCTAATTTTTTCCCTATTTGCAAGTATTAGAAAAATTATTCTTATCTCTCTGCATTCATTTCTATTTTTTTCCCTTTAAAATAGGTACTACAGGTGTGTAATTACTCCAGATGAAACTCTCTAGGATATACTGGTAAAACTTCAGCTTGCCCTTCCATATGGTGACAAATTTGTTCTTTTACAAGTGAAATCTTAGTTTTTTTTTGAAAGTGGAGCTTTTAATATTCTAAGGTATAAATTAAACCTAACCAAACTTTGCTATTCTCTTTCCTAGTCCCTTGCATCTGCTCAGAAAAATTTGATGACTATAAGAGAGAGAAAGAGAAGGGCCTTTGGAATGTTGACTAGCTAGGGGAAAAAGAATTAATTTGCCCAATAAACCTGGTTTTGACAAATTTCTTACCTGAAAATTCAATGAAAAAAAAAGGTGTTTTTTTTTTTTTGTGTTTTGGTTATATTGTTGTTGTTTTAGTTTTTTGGTTACTTTGTTCATTTTTAAATGTTGAAACATTTAGACCATAAATTTCAAACAGCTTTATTTCTGTCTGTCCTATCAGTGACAAGTTTCTGCAAGTGACTGTGATTTGGCAGTCATTACCTTCATGATATCTACAGGATGTCTAAAATGCAATAAGCAATTAAACATTCATTCATTTAATTTAAGTTACAAGATGAAATGCTCTATTTGTCAAAATAATGGCTAATCTGTAATGCTAAAGTACAAAAGAAAACCAGAATTTCTAGTCCTGGATTCATCCCATCCTGAGAAAAGAGTTCTCAAATACTTCATATGAATCATGAGCACTAGAGCACCGAGCACATGAATCCCTCTTGGTATGCCCACAACTGAATTTAGATTTCTAAATGTAGGAAAACAATTAAAATGCCTTGCAACATCTTCAGACTACCCCTCCTTTGCTCTAGAGAGGCAGCAATCTGCTGCTGACCCATACAGATAGTGGCTTCTATCCTGGCTGTTCCAAATACCACTTCAGCGCTGTGAGAAGGAAAGGGTTAGGCATTAGGTTGGGAGGCACTTGGTGAAAGGAGTACAGAGGATGAGAGGAGAGAGGGCTGGAGGGAAAGCAGTAAGCAGGCGTCAGGTCAGCAGGCACCACCATAACAGGGGTGGCTATGTCACAGAGCGCCAGTTGGGCAGCGCCCATGTCACAATGTGCAGGTGGGAGGTACACCTCAGTGTGTATAAAAAGAAGTGTGGGGCATGGTTAGGCGTTAGGGTGGGAGCAGCCGGGTCAGAGACGACAAGAGGGTGCTCACCAACAGGCAGGGGCTGGTGGAGGATGTGACGCTCCAAGCCAGCCTTGGCTACAGAGATCCTCAGGGCAGTGAGAAGGACATGCAGCAAGCACGGAGCCCCAGCAGGAAAATGGTAACCGGAGTACAGAGAGGGAGAGGAGAGGTTAGGGCTTGGGCTCTCATCGTCCACCCTAGAACTGTGGCCATAAACAAGCCACTTCGCCTTTAGGACTACTCGTACCCTGAGTAGCGTGGAATGTTCAAAGTTTATTCAAAGAAAACAATTAGCTTTAATTAATTCACAGCACAGGGATGGAAAATAATAAGGTTTGGTTCTAATAGTGACATCATGGTTTATTTAATACAGGACCTTGTTATTTCTATGTGACATTTTAATCAAATATGATAAAACTGGAAATGGAAAGGTTTCAAATAATTATGTTTAATTACTTAAGCATCATTTAATCTTCAGTGTTAGTAATTATCATTGTCAGACCTTTTCTCACATATACTTAGATATATCATATTAATATCAACCTTGATTGCTATATTTATTGAAAGCTACATTCTAATCTTCTCTTTTAAATATTTTAATTATCTTGGGTAATTTCAGAAGCATCCTTAATCCTTTATACAGTTCCTGGTTATCTTCAGCAAATGCTATAAACAACTATAAACCTTCTAGCTTTATAAATCAATGCAGTATTTCAATCTATTGTGGATGATTTAATGACCAGACACTGGTCGATACATTGATGTGTATGTATTAATCTTTCATACATACTGTCTTTTGAGTGAGGAGTAAATTTTTTAAACCCAACTAGTTCAATGTGGAAGACTTCAAGGGGTTTTAATTTCCTTTTAAAAGTTGGCTTTATGATAAACTTATAATAAATACTGCCATTTATCTGTAATTCAGGTAGTAATTAGATCTGCTCACTATTTATAAAAGAAAAATGTAAGGACTGGCACTCTCTGGTTACTTCTGCACTGCAGCTGCTGAGGCAGTGCTATCTTGAACAGCTTGAAATGGGTATTGGAAGCCAGCAAGATGCTGGAGGCATGGTGGTTTGTTTGGGTTGCTATAATCTGTTAAGAAGCGTGATAAATTAGTCCCTGTGGAGTTTCGTGTGATCGCAGTTTGACTGCTTATGGAAACTGAGCCTAGTGCATTTTAAGTTATCTTGGCTGGCAAAGTGCAGCGATAATGTATCTCATTAATTCTAAGCCTGGAATAATTCCTCAAAAATTAGCAGAGCTATTTAGGTACGAAGATAAAATGACTAATGGCAGTGAGGAACCCATTCAGTTTTGCTCAGTTTCATAGGGAAGATTGTTGAAAAAACTCTCTGGCAGCACAGCTGAGCACCATCTTTAAAATAGAAGCTATGTCTGGGTCATGACACTTCCTACATCCTCTGGCTTTGATCCCACTCTAAGCCCTACATCTGGTGTGTAGCATGGCGTCAAGTCTATGAGGCCTTCAGAAAGGGGCCTCAGTGGCCCTGGGTAGCGCAGATGCAAAACTAAATACTGATTTCAGTAATACTGGTACAAAGCATTGTTATGATGGCATAGGGACACCACTTATTATGGTTTAAAGTTCTGCCTACTGAGAAACAAAACTTAATTTTACACTTTTCCAACATGGAAAGAAACTGAGTGCAAGCAGGAACTAGTCATTATAGTGGGTTGATATACACAGGAGTGACAGTCATTTTTTCATCTTATTCTGGATTGCACATGCAAGAAACGTTGCCATGTTCCCATCCAGTTTTGAAGTTTTAAGACTTATTATTTTAGGTCAAAAGAAAACAGCACAGCGGCAGCTTAACTCCTGTTGATTCAAAGTGAATTCCAGTACTAGATAAAACTAGAGTTTGCGCCTGAAGCTTTATTTGTTATTCAACAACAAGTTCCTTATGCGTACACGTAAGCCATATTTAACCATGTTATCTCGGGTAATATATTCATTTGTCATTGATGATGCATTAAACAGCCAACAGCCGTGATCAGTAAAGGTGATAGAACTACTAGGAAATTTAAAGTCCTGGCTATGTCTCTGCAGATAGTAAAATAGAAATAATAATAATGTCAATAATAACAATGACAATAAAAATAAATACTGGCTTTCATTTATGACATAGTGAAAGTTTGTAAAAACTGTGGCTGTTGGTGGAAAATTAGACCCAAAGTTATCAGTGTTAATGTCAGTTATTTTCACTACAATGAAAAAGAACACTGACAGACTACTGATGTCAACGGCATGACCTTCTGTTAAAATAGAATCCACATAACTTGTATTCTCATTGCAGTGAGCAAACCTGAAAGTTTCCTCAGAACCTTCCAGAACCCAACCTGTTTCACTGCACTGACTGCTTCTTATTTTGACTTGTTCTGTCTGCAGTGCAGACATGAAGTGTTTTCTGATCAGCAGTCATCTCCACTCCATGGAGAATAATCAGTCTGACGTTTTCACACAGATCTGATTTTGTTTGAATTTTTTGCAAACCTTTATTCATATATTCCATAGTTCTAGGTAATTTTAAAATTGCTAGAAAGAATACCCAAGTTTTCACAGAGCCCTCTCCCTCGAGCCAGATGTGGTCCATTTACCATACTGATGTCCAGTAACAATAATGAAGTGGCATTTTGAGGGGTAAGAAAAAAGTAAGGGCAGAAATCTGAGCTTATCAAACAGAACTTTGGAGACAGCATAATTTCTTCCAATATGGATCTCATACCTGATGGCTTTCTGTGTGCTGAGCATGCTGTGGATCTGTTTTTGTCTTTCAAGGCAGTAATAGTTCAGTGTAAGATATTCACCACCCTGTTTTCCTTCAGCTCTAGTGTTAAAATTTCATCCTGAAGTCTCTGTAAGAAAAGATAAATTTGGGTATTTTGGACTTCCTGTGAGTATAAATATGTCTTGATCGCATTTGTTTATGAAGTACTTTCACCACGCCTATACCTTTCTTTTTACACTGACTTCTTTACATATGTTAATGTATTCTTTGTTTTGTGTGTCCCTTTTCTGATTCTGAGTCTTATATCATGGTGCCACAGTAGTATGTCTTCATATCTGCACATTAAGTTAATAAGTATTGTTGTATAGCTTTTTGCTAGATACCTGATTACCAGTATATATTTTTTTAATGAAGGTTGGAAGCATTACAATTATTATTTGGATTAGTAACATCTATTAAAAGTATAACACTACCCAAAGTATATATGGATATTAGAGTCCATATAAATATGCATTCATATTAATCCTCAGCACCTTATAATCAGTCTTTTCAACAAGTCAGAAGACAAAAGGTTGCAAGTTATAAATTCCCAACTAATGAGAATAATCAGGTTTGATTGTACTCTTATAAAAATAGTTTACATTCAAGTAAGTAATAAAACATTTTATGAATTTTTTTGTTAGCTGAGATAATGGACAAAAGCAACTACATTTTTGGGTTAGATTGCCATATAAATAGTACATATTCATAGAGTGACCTTCTTTATTTATTAGAATAGAAAATGATGGCATGAGTAAACTTAAAAGAAGAAAAGAACCTTTGTTAAGATGAATTAAGGTTGAGGAAATATAATACTAACTTTTTGGGAAAACACTGCAGAAGACCATCTCAGTAAATGCACGTAATAATCTAAAAGCCAAGAAGTCTAAAGTTAAAATATTTTTTATAGGCTAAAGAATGAAATTTTATAGCACATTAAAATACTCAAACCTAAAATAAGATTGTAAACAACATATTGGCAATAATGTTAAATACAGGAGGGATCAGTGAAAGGGAAGCTCTCAAGCCACATGGCACTGGTGAAGAGCAGTCCAAATCTTGTCAGTGGCCACAGTTTGCTGGCTGCTTA